TCTCTTCCAACTCTATGATTCTATGATTCTATGATTCTATGATTAAGTTAAGTGGATGCTTTTGGCTTAATTTTATAGATCAAATTGGCCTCAGAGAAGAAAGTGAACTCTTATTTAAGGGGCCAAAGCCAAAAAGCTATTTAAGGTTGCAATGCCATGCACTGACCTGGAAGTAGTGATGCTTGATCAGTTATGAACATGATTCCAAGCTAATGTGCATTGTAGGGCAGTTCTTCTTCTGTTTTAGTAGTTCCCCCGATTGTGGGTTTGTGGCTGCCACAATATAGCAAAATGCATATTTTAGGAAAAATCTTTCAAAAATGTTTATTTTAGCATATAGAAGTTTAAACCTAATGGCTTGTATGTGTTAAGCAGATACATCAAATCAACTACTGAATACTAGCAGCATTGGTGTAACTCCCATGGATACAATGGGTCTGCTCCGTTTGGATAAGCATCTGGATTAAGGTCTATAACCTGAGTCTCTTGTGAAAATTTGCTATGCCCAAAATAGATGCATTTAAAAAACAAAAACAAAAACAAAAATATATGTCAGGAATGGGATAGTACAAATTTAGGGGTTAAGACATGTGAAACTGACACAGGCTAGAATGGAGATGGGAAGAATATTTATTATTTGTGTGCAGGTTGAAAAACATGCTTCTCAGCTATTCAGAAATCCCATTGAGAAGAACAATAAGGCTAGTGAAAATCTCAAACATTTTCCCTCTAATATTTGAATATGTGAAGTGTTCTGGGTTTGAGTCTCCCTAATGCAGAATTCCAAAATCCAAATTATTCCAAAACTCAAAAACATTTTTCATGGATGGCTGAGATAGTGATACCTTTGCTTTCTGATGGTTCACATCAACTTTATGTCATGCACAAAATTATCAAAAATACTGTATAAAATTACCAAAATCCAAATTATTCCAAAACTCAAAACAAATCGATGGCTGAGATAGTGATACCTTTGCTTTCTGATGGTTCACATCAACTTTATGTCATGCACAAAATTATCAAAAATACTGTATAAAATTACCTTGAGGCTAGGTGTAGAAGATGTATATGAAACATAAATGAATTTTATGTTTAGATGTGGATCCCATTTCCCAGATACCTCATTTTGTGCATATATGCAAATAATAATAATAATAATAATTAAAAAATCAAAATCCAAAGCACTTCTGGTCCCAAGTATTTCAGATAAGAGAGACTCAACCAGTATTCTGCGTAGAAAAGCATATGGGTGTGTGTCTGTGTATGTGCAAAACCCTGTGCAAAAAAACTACTTGGTTAGTATGTGTAACTAAGTAACTTCTCCTGGCCTGAATCCCTTAGCCCATCTTAAAAGCCAGTAGCCAGATTAGTTGCTGGAGATCTATTTACCTTCTAATAGGGGTGTTAGGAGGATGACGCTTCCACCCCGCTCTTACTAGTGAATGAGGCTGCAACAAGGACTTGTAATGGGGCCCTGCTATTGATTGTCATAGGGTCTCTGCAGATGGCGCAAAGCGCCGTCTTGGGGCCAGGGAAGAGGAGCATGCGCCGGTGCACGTGGTATGCACTCTGATGACGTCCTCCGGTGCAGCATCCGGACATGCTGCACCAGAAGAGGCGCAAAAGAGTTGCATGGTGGCTCTTCGGGTGCCCTTTTCACCACCTGGGAAAGGAGCGCTATTTTGGCACTCCTTTCCCAGTTGCCAAAAGGGTGGATTGTGGTCGAGGCGTGGGGTAGCCTTGACCCCAATCCTCCCCTTCCTAGGGTAGCCCACAGCCGCCCGTCTGCATCCTCCCACAGATTGCTGGTAACTTCCTTCACCCAATCTGGCTGTTCGCTCTTAAGGTGAGGTGGGGTGGCATTTATGGAATCTTATAGTAATAGGGATTCAGAGCAGTTACAGATCTATAACAATAGTTTACAAATGTGTAACTGCAATACTGAATGTGTTTTTCTATATGGAATAATTTCTATGCAACACTTCAAGGTGTTCAAATGTTCATCCTCGCATGGCATTACATCCCTAGACTAGAACATAAGATTAGACTGTTAATAGTAATACACCTATGCTTATTGGAACCTTGTAAAACACATTACAAGACATGCTTCTCAAATTTGCAGATGACACCAAATTAGGAGGAATAGCTAATACCTCAGAGGACAGGAGGAAAATTCAAAATGGCCTTAATAGATTAGAAAGCCGGGCCAAAGCTAACATAATGAATTTCAACACAGAGAAATGTAAGGTAC